CTTTGTTCTTTCCTTGCCAATCTAGGATTTAAAGTGAGACATGTAAATGGCATTCTAAGACTGTGAGAAAGGTATGGTGACCTTGAAAATAGTTCTTGTTGGGTAATTTTGTTTTCGCCCAAACACACATAATGAATGCCTCAGGGAGATAACTGTCACACATTCCTTGCAAGGAACAGCCAACAACTTGCAATGTCCACCTGTCATTAAAAATGTTGCAGAACTCTCCGGCAAAGGCTGCCCTTTGCTGAAGCAGCTGGTCCAGCAAGGAGCAGAGAAGATCGTGCTGTCCACTGGAGTGAAGCCTGTGTTGTAAGTGCCATTAAGTCAGTACGGCTCAGAGCAGTCTTATTAGCAAGTGTCATCCTTATCTCTTGACATATTCGAGCCCATTGCCATAGTCACTTTCAATCCATCTGTTGAGGGTCATCCCTCCACTTTTCCTAGCAGGATATTCCTTTTCCAAGGAATAACCCCTCCTAACAATGTACCCAAGATATGTGAGATGAAGCTTCACCATCTTTGTCTCTAAGGAGCATTCTGGCTGCACTTTGTCTGTTTGTTCTTTAGGCAGTACTCTCCTCCAACACCACCACTCAAGGGCACGGATAATTCCTCTGTCATTCTTATTCATTATCCAGCTTTCAAGTGCCCAGCATGTGATTGAAAAAGACCATGGTTTGAATCAGTTGCACCTTCGTCTCTAAACTGCTGCCATTATTTCTAAGGACTTTGGAGAGGACAGGTTTGTTCATTCTACATTTGTCCCATCCAAAGTCAGAAGAAGCTGCATGGAATGCAGCAGAGAAAAAGAAACTGTAAGTGACATTTGGAATTCTTCTGAAAAAGATCACAAGTCTTTTTTTACTAAAAAGAAATTCATGGCAGGTAGAAAGTGACCCCTTAAGATTTGAGAGAAGAAATACAGACCAGTCTTTATTTACCTTCATTAAGGAAACATTTACTGAGCACCTACAATGTGCTTCATGTAATGTTCATCAATGTTTATGTAAAAACAAATATTACACAATCCTTGTCCTTGTCTCACTGTCTACTGGGGAAGATAAGGGGATAAACAAATAGTTAGAGCATTATGTCATGTATGCTGTAACAGGCTTTTTACAAGGTGCTGGAGGAGAGTGGAGTGTGGAGTGGGCAAAGGGAAAGCCTCCATGTAAACTGTCTTGTTTAAGGGAAATCTTCAAAGATGCATAGCTGCTCACCATGTTGATGGGGTCACAGAGAGCTGCTCGACCTGAGAGCAGATGGGAAAGGCATTTACAGACGTCAGAAAGTTCCTAGGGTGGGGGTGGGGAATGGGAGGAGCTCCTGAAGGTTCTTAAAGGTGACATAATCCAGGTTATGACTCCGCAAATCCTTCTGGTGGATTTTATGGGGGATGAGATGGAAGCAAGAACAACCAGCCAGAGGGCTCCTGTTGGCATTCAGACCGGAAGTGAGGAGCCTGAACAGGGCAATGAGGTTGGTGAGATGGGAGCCTGCTGAACAGTTATTAGGAAGGCGGGGCATGGTGGTCCATTACAGGTGCAGTAGAGGTGGGCATGAAGAAGAGACAAGTGTCCAGCATGATTCATAGGCCAAAACTTATTACCACCGAAACAACTGCAACTCATGGCCACCCTGCAGGGCAGAGCAGAATGGTCCACAGGGTTCCGAGGCTGTAAAGTCATCACAGAAGCAGGGTGCCTCATCATTCTCTTGAGATGTTGCTGATAACTACAAACCAATGATCTTCTGTTGAACAGCCAAATGCTTTAACCACCACGCCAGCATCAGTTCTTGGGCTGGCCTGGCTTCAGAAGTATGAGATCTACTCAGGCAGACAGGACCCCCCTCTATTTAGAAGAGTCTCATCACACCCTTGGTTTAATGCTTTGCAGGCACCATCTTGAAATTATTTATAATGCTTTGGACTAGGAGCGTCATATTTTCATTTTCATTTTGCTCTGAGTCCTGCAAATCATACAGCTGGTCTTGTTTCCCACTTTCTTGTCTCGAGCTGGTCGGTAGACATTGGTGCCAAGAACTGAAATCAGAAACAGAAGAAGCAGCAAGTTTAATTCTACGAGGGCTGGCTGGACTGATGAGCTCTGTTTTGCACATGTGACTTTTCTGTGTCTGAGGGTCATTAAAGAGATCGTCAAATGGGCTTGCAGAAATTCAGTGTAAAATCTGAGCAAGGCATAGGCTGGACATACAGATGTGGAGGTCATCAAGGCCAAGGGAATGGCAGAGGCCTTGGATGCAGGTGAATAAATGCAGATGAAAAACGAGCTCACAATACAACTTTTTTCAGGACAACATTATTTCAAAGTGGTTGGCATGTATTATGTACACCTGTCTACACATACATATTCAAATTAATCCAATTCCTTGGAAGGATGGGCAATCTTCTTCCATGTAATTAAATGCCTCTGAAAACCAGCTGGAGGGTCAGCTATGGGTTGGTTTTGACTCTACGGTACACAGCAACCACCACCACAGCAATGAGTCATACTAAACGCGATGGCACCTAATAATAATATAATAAGTCAAACAGGAGGAGATTGCCCATCTTTCTCCTGTGAGCAGCTGGTGTACCTTGTCTAGGTGGGCGGCGCAAATCCTTACCACTAAGCCACAGAGCTCCCTCCAATGCTCCCTAAAGGGGAAAAATGGGGAAACTTCATCTCACCTATTTCGAGTATGTTGTTAGGAGGGACAAGTCCTTGGAAAAAGACATCATGCTTGGAAAAGGAGAGGATCAGCAAAAGAGAGGAAGACCCTCAAAGACATGGATTGACACGGTGAGAACCACAATGGGCTTGAGCCAGGCAGAGATTGTGAGGATGACACAGGATAGGGTCCCTGCGAGTCATCATGGACTGGAGGCACTTGGCAACAACAGAGGCACTGCTGCCGTGAGAACTGAGGCTAATCTCAAGAAAGAGGCAAAGCTGAATGATGCTTGCAAATTGTAAGGATGAAAACTTGTAATATGCAACTCTTTTGCCCAGGGGATTAAAAGCTTGACAGAGGGATGGAGAGACCTTTTAATATTTTCCTTTTCATTAAGTTTACAACATGAGCCCCTCCCATCAGGGACAGAGTTCTCAGTGCTCTGCAGCAGGCCCGCTGGCACCCAGCATTCCCATATCCCCCTGTGAGAGGCTACAGCAGGACTCTAGCTGAGCTGGTGAATAATTAATACATCACCAAGACCCGAGGCTCCAGCCTCCCTCAGCCAAGTGGATGTTGCAGACTTGTAGCTTAATCTGAGGTCTAATGATTAAACTTCTCAGGGCCCTATTTCATTGCTTCCAAGTTAAAAACTGACCAAGTCTTAAGTGATTCATGGTGTGGGGGTGGGGGGCACAATCTCCAGACCCAGGAAACAGGCAAAGGAGGAACAATATTAGCAGATTCTAGGCACATTTGCTCAGAGAACTAAACAGCTCAAGCATTGACTCCACCTGCTGCCAAACTGAGCTAATTCACAAAAAGGGTGGTGGGATTCCCACCAACTTCTCTTTCTCTCTCTAGCTCCCAGGAAATGAGTAGACTTAGATTAGAGGTACTTAGGAGAATGGCTTAAAGATGTTAAAGCTTTGTCTCACACACTTCGGGCATGTTGCTAGGAGAGGCTTTTCCTTGGCAGAGGGACATGATGCTTGGAAAAGTGGAAGACAGCAAAAGAGAGGCAGACCCTCACCAGGTGGATGAAACAGTGACTGCTGCAATGGGCTCAAGTGTGTCAGAGCCTGTGAGACTGGCACAGGATAGGATAGGGTTAAGATACATTGTTCATAGAGTCACTATGAGTACTTGGCTGGACAGACACCCACCACATAACGATTTAACAACATCAAAGGAAGCTCTGGTGACTAGTGGGAAGGAGTTGTGCTGCCAACCCAAAGGCACATGGTTTAAATCTACCAGATGCTCCCGGGGAGAAAGATGAGCAATCTCCTCCCATGCAATTTACTGCCTCTGAAAACTCCGAGGTCAACCATGAGTGGACAGCACATAACAACAATTTAATCAGACGGATCACACTCAGATCTTCCTAAGTGTGCCTCGGATTGATAAATTGTTGAGTTTCTTCCTGGAAATGTCCAGAAGATGTTTCTGCAGAACCACTTCCTAAAGAACGGCAGTTCCAGGCTCCATCTACACACACGCGTCGACAGGGTAGAGAACCACTAACATTAACTTAACCAGCAAGACACAGACTTGTGAATACAGACCCAGATGCTCGGATTTCTTGGGCGGTTTTGATCAAGGGCAGATCCCAAAGAAAATGTGAGCGCACGTGTGTTCCACAGGGAACAGTACGTCTCCGCCCTTCGTGAAGATACTGTATTTGTTGCGTCCGGAATGACCCAGAGGACGTCTCATCTTTAGGGTGAATAAAACCGGCAGGTTAACTCCTTAAGGAAAGGGTTAACCCGCCCTCCCAAAGCGCGCAGAGCAAGAGTTTCTGGCCTTGGGCACCTATTCGTGACTCACTCCTTACAAATGTAAATGCACGAGTCCGCGGTAGGTCGCCATCCAACCCCCTGGCTTCCCTATCTGCACACCTACCTGGGAGACCCGCCCGGGCGCATCCAGCCCCCTGTCCCGGCCCCGGATGCCCGACCCCTCGGTGCACCCCCACAGCCCCGCAGCCCCTCGCTGGGAACTAGAAGGGCAGAGCCCCTCAGCTAGTGCCAGCAGACGCGCTCTTAAAACAAAAGAGGCGCCCCGGCGGGTGGCCCGCGACCTCACCCCTCCTGGCCAACTTGTGGCCTCCCGCCGCCCGCCCCCTCAGCCCCTGCCCGCCGTGTGCGCATGAGCAGAGGCTCCTCCCTCGGTCCCTCCCCAGGCGAAACTTTCTAATTCCCTTCTTTGGGCTCGGGGCCGCCCGGAGAGCCGAGCGCAGGCTCCAGGGGTGAGCAGAACAAAGTGGCCGCGCGATTTTCCCCTTCCCCACCCCCTGGCTTCCGTGGGAGCGGCAGGAAATGGAAGGGCCCCTCTCCTCTCTCTGAACATTTGCCTCTTTTTTCCCCCCCTTCCCTTTTCCTCCACCTCTCCAGAAAGGAAGACGGGGGGAAAGGGCAGGCGGCTCTACTCTCCAAGCGCGTTCTCTCTTCCGCCGCCGGGTCCCCTTCGGCTGCAGAGAGATGGGTCTGCTCCAGGTGTTGGCTTTCGGTTTCTTAGGTAATTCCGTGGGAACGGTGGGGCATGGGCACCTTGGCTTGGGGGAGGTAACTCTCAGACCATTTGCTTCTGCGTCCGGGAGTCTGAGGAATTGGAGAGGGCAAGAGGAGGAAATTCTGCCCCCGGGATTACACGCCATCGCCCTGGCCTTGGAGGGGGCTGGAGACGGCGCGCGCGCGGACCTGCATCCCTGGGCGCCCGCGGCCGCCGCTCGGGGCTTTGCACCTTCGACCCATCACGCTGGGGAGTCCCTGCCACAGGGGGCAGGGTCCTAGGGGGCAGTGCCTTGCTAGCCGCGTGTCATCTCGGGGTGCCCTTTTCCCGAGAAAGTGCCCGAACCCAGCTCAGGCTTCGTCCTGGAACAGACTGGAGCCATGTGGCTTTAATTAACGCTCTCTGCTGGCCACGGGATGGCACCAGAACAGCTGGGCCCCGAGGCGCCGGTGATGGCCAAGCGTCTCTAGAGCCGCAGGGCAGCCCATTCGCCCCTCGCCGGGAAGAGGGCCTCAAATCCCAGCGTCGCTCCTAGAGCGCGCCCAAACGCCCGCAACACGCGCGCGCGCATACGCGGACTCACACGCTCTCTGGCTGGGCGCACACAGATGTCAGCGGCGGACACACACGCTCATTCACTCCGCGGAGGCTGCCGCGAGCACGCGGACGCATCCACGCGGTGCGCGCACACTGTTACACGCGCGCCACGGTGAGGTGCTGGGTGGCCGACATTTCTGCGCCCAGCCCCTGGCACGTCGAAGTGGCCCACCCACTGACACAACCACACTTTGTGATGGGAGCTGTTTTCACGAGCACAACTGGGTGGGTGCCCTGTGTGGGGAGGAGGGTGATGCTCTTGGCGAATGGAAAAACCTATTGACGTGGCCTTGTTTCTGTGTCTTCCTCTTCACCAAATCCCTCTGCCTCCCTTCCTGGTCCCCTCCGCTCTTTTTTCCTTTGTGTCTTCATCCCCTCTGAACATTCCGCTTTGTTGTGAATTTGCACTTCCCTCTCCCTCGTCCCCGCTCCCTGTCACCAACCCCTTGTGCAGCCCTGTGCCAAGCCCAGGTGCGCGCTCAAGAACCTGAGTTCAGCTACGGCTGTGCAGAGGGCAGCTGCTACCCGGCCACAGGCGACCTTCTGATCGGCCGAGCGCAGAAGCTCTCTGTGACCTCAACATGCGGGCTGCACAAGCCTGAGCCCTACTGCATCGTCAGCCACCTCCAGGTGAGAACTGAGAGACACGCTCAAGCTCCCAGCTGGCACTCGCCGCCTGAGCCTCCAGTCCAGACACAAGGGGCAGGCCCTGGGGACTCCGCATCCTGTCAGCAACCCTGATAGGAAGCGCGGCCAGTCGGAGTCCCGGGATTAGCCTGGTTGCACGCTCTCTCTAGAGCAAGCTCAGTTTGCACAGTTGCATCCGCCAAACATTTCCTGCCACTTCCCCTGCTGCTGTGCGCCCTGCATAGACCTGACCTCCCAAAGTCCCGTTTAAAAGAAAATAATAGGATCTTTTCATAATTGTAATATGAAAAAGTTTCCCCTTCATACTTAAGCAGTGTTGGATTTCCCCCATAGTGTTCCTTGAGAAACGGGTATCCAACGCTGACACATGCCTTGTGTGGTGACCCCAAAGACCAAACCAGCTTTTCTGTCAGATGTTCAGGTTAAATGGTTTGGGGGTTCCCCCCCCAAATGCCCAGGTTTTCCGTGGTTCCCTGGCAGAAGAACTTTCGGTGTTTCCAGAAGTCTACTTTTCAAAAGGGGTTTTGCCAAAAACTGGATCCAGATTTTTTTCAGATTTCAGAGATCATAATTTTTCAAAGTCAAAATTAACTGTATAAGAGCTTACAAAGTATCTATAATCAGAAATCTTTTCCTCAATTAAGAGAGAGACAGACTGCAGCTGGCCCCCAGCACAAACTGCCTGTGTTGGTGTCATGTGCAGATTAAGTTCCAGGTCAGTTGCTCCAATTTGGCCACGCCACCCACTTTCGTACCTGCCCTTGAGCAGGACAGAGAGCATGTGGTTTGCCCAGGAGCAGCCTAAAATGGAGTAATTTTTATAAAACTCAAAAGAAACTGTTCAGAAAAACCTGAGAAAGTAAATATGAAAGAATTCTGAAAGAATGTGGTGAAGGGAATTCCACGCCTTAGCTTCCAGGTTTTACAGAAATGTCTAGACTGCTTCCCCCTGATTAGAAAGGAGGCTATAATTACCCTCTCTTTTTTTGAAGTTCTGGTAATTGTTCCCCGGAACTAGTTTCCTTGACTACACTTTAATGAAGGCAGTAGATGTTACCCTTTCTAATATTAGCATTCAGTTTTCACCTAAAATACAGTACTGCCCCTCAGAGATCCTGTAAATGAATCAACCAGCTTTGACCAGAGTGTAAGATTGGACTATTTGTCTTCAAAGCAAGTAGAGCAGGACCCTTGGAGTTTTTTCTGTGATTAAGCAGCAGATTGTGGAGTGCGGTTCACTTTTCACAGATGAAAACTCTCATTGCTGTCACGTTGGGACAGAATCATAGCTGATCCTCCATTGAGCTTCTGAAGCTGTAAATCACACGAGAAAGATCTTCAGGCTTTCTCCCATGGAGCGGCTGATGGATTTGAACCCGCCCCCCAAAGAGGCACCTTTGAGTTAGCAGCTCAGCTCTCCACAGACTAAGCCAGCACAGTTGAAAGGACCTAAAAGAAAGAAACGAGCATATACTTTTCTTATACTTTTAATGAGTGCAGAACTGAAGCAGGGCTGGCTTTGCCTAGCATTCCATGGCAGTCCTAATGGTCTGGTCTCTACTTTTTTTAGATAAGAGACCCTGGTGGCATGGTGGTTAAGCACTTAAAAACGGAAAAGTTCAGGGTTCTAACCCATAAGCCTTTCCTTAAACCAGAGCTGGTGATCTGCTTTTGTAAAGGTTACAGCCTAGGAGACACCAAGGGACAGTTCTGCTCTGTCACATGGGGTCTGCTGTGAGTCTGCTGGCACCTAATGACAGTAAGTCTAGATAGACTCACAGGTGCATAGTGCTTTTTAGTTAACACATCTTATTGTTACCCTAATCCTTTTTTTGAGGAATAACAAACAAAATAATGAATAACTGACCTTCATGTGTGCCGTCAAGTTAGAGCTGACTCATGCAGTTTTCAGAGGCTGTAAATCACGTAGGAAGAAAGTGTCTTTCTCCTTTGGAGCAATTGGTGGATTTGAACTGCTTTCCATTGGGTTAGCAGAGAGATTTCTTACCCCTTGGGCCAGCAGAGCTTCCTAGTAACTCACTTCTTCTGTACCGTTGAGTCAGATCGAGCCATAACTGACACTCCAGCAGATTTTCAGAGGCAGTAAATTACATGGAAGTTGATTCCATCAGCTGCCCTGAGGGAGAAAGATGGGCATTTGAACCACATAACTTTGTGTTGGCAATACAATTCCTTACCATTAAGCCACCAGACCTCCTCAAATAACTAACTAAATAGTTTAAAAATACAGTCCATGAATTTGGAAAGACTGTTATCATCAAGTGTTGTTTGTAGGCCTTTCTATGTTTCAGGCTTACTAGTTTCAGACTTAAGAATAAATAAGATGCATTTCAGGGAACTGAAGCACAGAGCAAAGCACCATATGGCAGAGAGAACCATTACGCCCTATGGTTTAGGATCCACAAAGATGAAGTATAGAGAGGGTTCCCTGCACTCTCCTGACCCAACAGCCAGGGCGACACAGCTGGCAAGTCTGTGGTTCCCATTTTAAGGAAATTGAGACATGAAATTTAAAACTATCTTAAAATTTAACACCTCCCCCCAAAAAGCCCACTAATTTCCAGTAAATTCTGACCCATCGGGACCCTCCCTTCCCGCAGGTTTCCAAAGCTGTAAATCTTTATGAGAAGAGAGTGCTTGTCTTTCCCCTAGCGCTAGTCCACTAGGGCTCCTGTGCCCTGAAGCCTTAAATCTACAGTAACTTCAAAGCTTGTGGATGGTGCAGACTCTTAACACATCCAGCCCTTAATCAAAAGGCTTGAGTCCACACCTCAGAAGATTCAAACTAATTGCAATCAAGTCCTGACCAACTTGCATGGCCTACCTTTGGATTTCCCGGACTATAAATTGCATGAGAGGAGATTTTTTTCCCCCCCATCTTTTTCCCCGAGGAGTCCCTGGTGGCTTTGAACCACTGGCGAGGCAAGGCCTTTGGCTTAGCAGCACAACTCTGTGAACGACACCAACAGAATTCTCTTAAGGTCCATGACTGGCTTCTGAGAAATTAGCCATGGAAGACCCTGTGCAGCCCAAGTGTACTGACATACATGGAGTCCCTGTGAGTTGAGATTGACTCAAAGACTTCTGGAGGTGGGGGCTGGAGGGTGGTGTTCTGATTTTTTATTTTGGCCATTTTTTAAATTTTCCTAATTCCGAGAGTACACGTCTATTTTGAGTTCTGTAGGTTATTCTCCAGCTTACGGTGGCCCCCAGCACAGCAGGAAACTCTTGGTGTGCCTTTCCCCACCCCAGACTCTCTGAGCTTGCCACCACCTCTGATTTATTGAGCAGATTAGAAGCTACAAACTCTTCTGTAAATCCCAAGCCCTCTCTAAATACTGCTTCTTAATAGCTGGTTTTGTCCTTATTTAGGTTTTAGAAAATCAGGTCAAATGAATTGCTCTCTTCTTTCATTTTCAGTTTGCTTTATATCAGCAAAAAATTGTCTAATACCTCTTTTGCCTTTCGATTAAGCCGCTCTGGCTGTTTACTGAGATTAAGGTTTCAGCATAGAAATTTGATTTTTATTAAATTAATAGCTTGTGGAAACAATGCCCTCTTTTGCTTTTGACCTTGAATTTTCAGAGAGGAAGAAATTCTTCTCAGGAGTATTTCAGCCTTGGTAAGTTAAAGGAATAGGCACATGATATAAGTTATTTTGAGCACATTCATTTTTCTTTTTACATTTTTTTTTTTGAGAGAGTGTGTGTGTATGGTGGGGGTGTGTGTGCGTGTGCGCACACACGCACGCATGAACATGCTTTTTGTGAGAGTACTGATGAATTAACTTTGTTTTCAGGAGGATAAAAAATGCTTCATATGCAATTCCCAAGATCCGTATCATGAGACCCTCAATCCTGATAGTCATCTCATTGAAAATGTGGTCACTACCTTTGCTCCAAACCGCCTAAAGATTTGGTGGCAATCAGAAAATGGTATGTGGTTGGTGTTCATTGGCCTGTGATTGGAGGGTAATGTGGATGGGGTTTATGGGCTTCTGAGTGTGTGTAATTACCATGGCTTCTCTGTCCTGTAATTACTGCCAGTGACAGATTTATTGCCTGGGGCACTAACTTCTCTTGGTAAAATCTGATCCTTCTTCTGAAGCATGCACTTCCTATAAGAATGCAGTCTTTCATGCACAACCAAAGACGTGTTTCATAGTCATCACCGTTTGAGGAGCTTTAGGGGAGTGTGTGTCTTTTGGGGCTCAGGGTGCAGCCTGAGGAGGGCGTGGGAAGGGCCTGGATATCTGGCTTTCATTCTCCACAAAACATAGGATCTTTCATTTTGCTCAACTCCTAAGGAAAGAACAGGGCAAGAGTGTCCCTCCCCCAAACTTGAGAAAATGTAATACAGTATTGTGCGTGAGCACTGTGATGTCATCTTTCCAAGCCTCTGTCTGCATGAACGTGACTCAAGCCGAAGTGTCCCCAGTGAGTGGGTGAATCCAGCCCCTCTCCTTTCTTTGTCCTTTGCTTATGGGTTTAGTAAGTCACTGAAAAGGAGGAATTACGATCGCTCTGTAATCGAGCCCGCATTAATTTTACATTTGCTTCACACTTGAATGCTGAGATTTGAGGAACACAAAATCTCACCAAATTAGAAACAATTCTCAGAGCATTGAAACTAAACCTGGACGTAAGAAGCATTAGACACCCCTCGATTGCCTTATTCTGAGTCTTAACATCTGGGAAGTTTTTTGATACTTGAAGTCATCATTCTGTAAAGAAAAAATCCCTTATCTCGTCATTGACTATTAAATTACATATGTTTTCTTGAAGACTCTTGTTTCCTCAAATGCACGCGCACTGTCAGTGAGTTGGTTCCAACCTGTAGGGACCCTCCATGCCTCCGTGAGATTTCCAAGCCTGTGAATTGTGATAGGAGGAGACTGTCCCATCTTTCTCCCAAAGAGTAGCTGGTGAACTCGAACCACTAGAAATATGGGTCCCTGAGTCTACGCCATCAGAGCTCACAGAGAGGGTTAACCATAGGTTGACTGTGGCAGTCCTTTGGTTTGAAACTTGCTTGAAAGAGACTTGATCTTCAGGAATCTCATGTCATTGCTGTTTTGGGGTTGTGTGCCATCTAGTTAGAATGAATCCATAGCTGGCTCTGTAGCGGGTTTTCAGAGACAGTAAATTACTCTGGAGGAGATTGTCCATTCTTTCTCCCAAGGATCAGCTGGTAGAGAGGTATAACTGTGTGCCTTTGGGATGACAGTGCAGCTTCTTACCACCAAGCCACCAGAGCTCCCTGGCATACCATTGAGAGCTGTGCTAATTCATACAGAAAAAAAACAAAACAAACCCTCTGGGTTGGCAGTGCAGTGTGAAGCAGAGAGTTATTTGCAATTGAGTCAGAAGTGTAGAGAAACAGCACAGGAGAGGAAGACCCTGAATGAAATGGATTGACAGTGACAGGGGTAATGAGAGTAGGTGTTTTAGAGACAGTGGGATTGGCTCAGGATAGAGCAGGGTTCAGAGCTATCGTGCATAGGGTTGCTATGAGTCATGCTTGACGCGACAGCACCTAACAACAAAAACAGCACTTGAGTCACAGAACTTTCTGAAATAGCCAAGAGCTTACAGTAAGCAGGGACTCGGAGCATATCCTGTCTGCGCATGTCTTCCAGAAGAATGACTGCCTGAAAGTTAGAGTCAAGACTGCCTTCCCTTGAGTTGATAGACAGGGGAACATTTTCTCATGTGGTCTACTAGTGTAATATATTGCATGTTGTTGGGCTGCTAACCAAAAGGTCATCGGTTCAAATCCACGAGCTACTCTTCAAGAGAAAGATGTAGTTGTCTTCCCCTGTAAAGAGGAGGGTCACGCGTGAGTTGGAATCAACTCCCTAACAGTGGATTTGCAGGGTCAAATGGAGATGTTCTCGAAGCAGTGTTTGCAGTTATTTCAGGAATTACACCTTTAATGATAAAAGACATTAAGTGCCAGGAAGGACTTTGCAGCTCCTTGGGCTCACGTTTACTGCCCCTTTCGCGTAGGAGATTGGAGATTGGGTCAGATTTGTCTTCAGAAATTGGGGCTGTGAAACACTACGTTGTCACCTCTAAGTTGTCTGAGAATTCACAATGAAAGACTGAGTTTGATTGTATCTTTTCTGTGTGTTTTGGACAAGTTGTGCTTCTGCATGGCGGAGCTAAATCATCAGTGCGCAGTCACAGAACAGGCTTGGGAAGTGTAGGTACTTTAACCCGACATTTAAAGATGATCCGTGTCTAGATTTGGCATCATCAACTATACTACAGAAGAATGGCCTCGTTTCATTCTTTTTTCCCCTTTCTTCCTGTATTAAAAACAAAAACAAAACTAATCCTTTCTCAGGTTTCAAATATAAAATTCAGTGTGTTTGGGGTCAGTGCATTGCAGGCTATGCTCCTGTGTTACAAAAACAGTTCTAGCCTTGTTTTACGCTTTGCATTATTTCATTATCTTTTAATTTTGAGCAAATATTGCAGGTTTCTAAAAGCCTCACAGAGAAGAGACATATTTGTTGCCTTGCTAACATTTTCATGCTCCCCTCCCAAAATAAAGTATCCACAGTAAAATGGTTCTTTTAACAAGTTAGATAAGGCTGTTTAATATAATGATAATATTTTTCTTTAGCATTCCAGCTAAGTCATATCCGTTCCAGTGACCACTTTTTCCCCTCAATGGGCTTGGCAGTTGTCCAGTGGGAGAATTTATTTCAAAAGATTCTACTGATTTCCTGAAAATACACCCTCCTGTGACATGATTCATTCTGACACATTCCGTCTTCCTGCATTTAAGATGTCATTTTGGGGGGAGATGGTCCCCAAATGCTTTCTCAAACACTAGAGACACGAACAGGGCAAGGCTGCCTTTATTCAAGGGGCTGGTTTGAGGGCCTTAGGGCTTGGGGAGGGGGCTTCTTCCATCCCTGGAATTCCAGTGGCCTCTTTAGTGAATTAAAGCTGGGCCTCGTTGACCCTCAGGGCATAGTGCAAAGGCTCATTTGTTTGTTCAGGCTCTGGCCTGAAAAGGGAGATGTTAGTATTTGTTCTGGCCCAGTTTATTTATTCGACCAGCTCTTTGTCTCTTTGGCATTGTTTTTCAATTGTGGAAGCGTATTCAAAGACTTCCCCATCCTAGATGGTTTTGCCGAATTGAAATACAGTTAGTAAAGGGCAGTAGTCTTCCTCCCCCTCCCTCTTTGCTTTGCTGTTGCCAAGGGAAAAAGAAGTATTTGTGTTTCTGTTGGAGGGTGATTGAGTCCCTGAATTTCAGGACAAGCTGACCCCCTACTGTCACAGGAAGTGCCTCCCTCTGTCCCCTTTGAAAGTCACTTGGCTCTGAGGGTTGGGAAGCTGTTTGGCATCTTCCTAAGCAAAGGACGCCTTCATGACAGTAACTAGAGGCATTTTGCCAGATGTCATGTTCTCATAAGCAGATCCAGTGTATTGAACCCCACAATGACCTGTAGAAATGGCAGAATCAGTATAGAGAATGTATGGAAATCAGCCTTGAGATTTGTCTCTTAAATCAGTATAGAAGTTTATTTCTCTTTGTCTCCTGTATCATACAAAAAAGATTTCTTAGGAAGAACATAATTTAAGAAAATAGGCTTGCAAAGTGTAGGTACTTTAACCTGACCTTTAATGATGATCCGTGTCTAGATTTGGCATCATTAAATAATAGTTTCAACTGTTCACAGCTGTACCTATTTACCCTTCTGCTCTGTGTGTGTGTGTGTGTGTGTGTGTGCGCGTGTGTGTCTGTCTATCTGTATATAATTTTTTTTATTGCCTCTAGGTGTGGAAAATGTGACAATACAACTAGATTTGGAAGCAGAATTCCATTTTACCCACCTCATAATGACTTTCAAGGTAAGAAATCCGAACTCTCTCAGAAGGGACACATGAGAACACTGTGCCATTCCCCTTTCAAACTGGGTTGTGACTTTGCCTGAAAACTCAACATAGTGTCATAGCTGTAAATTGAGATACTCAAGCAACTTTTAAAACATGAGTGTGAATTATTGCATTTAGCTCTAGCTCCATGGCAGTAAGCAGACAGGGCCACTCTGCTAAGATAATTCCACTGTAAATTTTTAATTGGATATCTTTTTTTATTTCCCCATGGAGAAGAGACAGCTTTGACTCGCTCCCAAACCACAGTGAAACATCTGGAAAGTAAATCCCCAGTCCCTTGTGTTGATTTTTTAATGCTGAGCTTGCTAACCGAAAAGAAAGCATATTATCTTTGTTTTCAGGATTTTGCAAAATCTGTGGGAACAGTTTCTCCTGAAATGCATATGCCTTCTTCCATGTGGACTTCCTCACCCTTTCACTCTCAGAAATGTAAAATGATTCCAGGACGGGGAAATTTCTCTGCACAAAGTACCTTTGTTTCTTCTAAAACAGCTGCTTGGAAATGACAGGCTTCACATGCCCGAAAGTACATGTTGGTGCAGATAAAACCCATCATTTACTTACTGCTTCTAGGAGTAAAATCCCTTTTGAATGGTTCTTTGTCAGTTGGATTTGGGGTCTTATCTACACCTTCTCAGGTTGGGAAAAGTTGCCAGGAGTAGATTTACCTTATTTACTTATTAAGAAACTTGTAGAAAGTCTCATTGTGCCCTTTAACAGTGCCTGGGAGATGAAGAGTAAAGGGGAGTCTGGAAGACAGAGTGTAATGTGCAGGGACATTGGCAGGGAACTTCCTAGCCCTCAGTTCTTCTTCATCCAGAGCCCCCTCCCGTAACTTGCTGTCAATGCCCAAGAGGAAGGTTTCACCATGACTGTCGTGGTATGGTCAGATGCCACTTGTCACTCAACCCATTGTCTCTCCCACCCAGAAATTCTGATGTTAAACGCCTACTCAGAATCATATTTACTAAAATTTTTTGGTAATGTGTCTTTTATATTGACACTGTACTCTTTGCATACATGGGGAGTTTTGAATTCATTTCTATTCAGAAGCCCGTTGGGTACGTGCTCTGGAGTTGAATACTCATTCAAGTTAATACAATGGGCCAAAGATGCCGTTCTGCACAGAAGTGCAAAAGGCCAAGTGGAGGAGGCAGAACTGAGGCAGAAATGGATAGAAGGCATTAGCTAGGGGGAGGAAATGTCCTTCAACTCCAAGCTTATGAAAAACATTTTTGAGGTTTTACAGACTGTAGTAGGAACCCTGTTCTGCCCCTTCTTGGGACCAGAGAATTGACTTTCCCACTGTTCAAATGGAGATCATAGTAATACCTTGTATTATTATTAGTTGTTGTTGTTGGGTTCTGTCAAGTTGACTAGCGCTCATAGTGTCCCCGTGAGCAACAGATCTGAACCTTCCTTAACACCCTCCTTGTGCTCTCTGCTTTGCTCTGAGCCTGTTGTTACAGTCCCTGTGTCAGTGTTGAGTGGTGTTGAATAGCTCTGCTGTGGAGCAGGAAACCCTTGATGCTGGGGGTAGAGTGGACACTTGAGAGGTAGTTGTTATGCATGCTAGTGCTTGATATACATAGTAATGCTCCTTAAAATATGAATGAGTGAGTGGATAAATTAATTCCACAACTTCTCTTCTTAGGAACCTGCACTTTACCCTGTGAAAGATTGCCAGTGTACCATGGTCACTGCTGTCCAGGAGTGCCGAGTCTTTTCAGGAGAATGATAGACTCGCAAATAGCTTATAACACGTGACATAAAGTGCTGTAACAGAAGTTCAAACAAGAACTATGTGTGTGAGCACAGAGGAGGGTGAGAGGCACATTAGCCTGGGATCAAGGAGGAAGAAGCCTCACCAGGAGAGGTCTGGGATGGCATGTGACCCAGCCCAGGGAAGACGAGAGGAATTTCAATGACAGGAGCTGGAGGGTGGAGGGCAGCCATACTTGGTGGAGGAGACGGTCTGAGTGCAGAGTCACTCGTAATAGTGGCACAGTGTGGGAAGCATTTGCCTAGCATGTGTGGAGATTTGACTCAAGTGTGAGGTAGTGACAGAAAGGGAAGCTTTTAAAAGTAAAAAGCAGATTAGAGTCAGAAGGGGCCTTGGCTCCATGCTGGGCACCATGAGCATTGCAGGAAGTATGTTGGCAACAGAATGAAAGGAAGATAACCTGAGAGGACATGACGGATGAGACCAGAGAGGAGAGAGGGAAAGGAGGGAGGTTTGTGTTAGTGGAGGACTTGACTTAAGAAAAACCACTAGCAAACAAGGAAAAACACATCCAGACTCACTGTTGAGGTTTCCAAAGTTTAGACCTGCGCAGGAGAAGTCTGCTGCTGCTTTCACCCTCAGCGTGGCAGGATTCCTTCTGTACCATCAGGGCTCTTTGACTTGGGAGAAGGCTAGGGAAACTGGTGCTGGAGAGGACTCGGAATCCCTTAGGTTGCCAAAGAAGAAACGAGTCTGTTTAGGAGGAAGTGCGAGCGTCTGGTTTCTTGGAGGCAAGGATGGTGAAACTTCATCCACCTGCTCTTGTACATGTGGTCAAGAGGGCTCAGTCCTTGGAAAAAAAACATGCTGGCAAAGGTGGAGGGTCAGAGCAAATGAGGAAGACTCTAGAAAGAGATGGATCGGCACAGAGACTGTCACAGTGAGCTCATGGTGATGACGCTACAGGGTAGGAATAGAATAAGGAGGGTTCACGTGTTTTCCTAGCGTTGCTGTGAGTCGTGGTTGCCTTGACGTCACCTAAGAACATCACCAGTAGCAGCGTTAATAAGGGACAGGCTGGCCCTCATTCCCACCTCGGAGAGTGCTTTCTCTTATAAGCCAGGCGTCCTATCAGTGTAACTGAGAAAGGTGTTTCAACTCCTATGCACCCCCTTCTTGTCGTACTCTGATACACTCTACCACAAGGGCTTTTGGAAGTCATTGTCATAAGGAGCTCCTGTTTTCCAAGGGTAGCCAGTTGGATCCTTTAGAATCACAATTGAACCAAGAATTGGAAAGATTCAAAGCAGAACATGAGAAAGAAGAGTAGAGAAAGGAATGACTCAGAAATTACTTAGGTGTCCAAGGTGAGTCACTCAAAGGATCGCGTTACCTTTAAGAGAAGTAAAGACAAGAAAGGAACTGAGATTGTCCACGAGGGTGAAGAACAGATCTTCATAGTTCCACACAGTGGTCATGCCACTGGACGATTGTTCAGTGGGTTAGGTTCTCTTAGGCTAACAAAAGTGCATAAATACAGTGCATGTTTGTAGAGTAGCCAGATGTTTAAAAACCCATAGCTCTTTTATCCGTTTTAAGTTTGGAGGCAACCATGCAGAAACTGAGGCCTGAGGGGGTTGATAATAATCAGAGAGTACAAAGAGGAGGTAGAAATATGTCCTTCCAGTTTCCAGCCACTTACTAACATACAGGAAGTTGGGTAACTTGTCTGTAGTCCTTTGGGGTTGGAGGTTTCCAGAAGGCTGGGAGAGGGAAGTGCAACCAGGACTGGCTTGAAGGCTTGGCCTCTTGACTCCCTTTTGACCCAGAGACATCAGATGAGCTTCCCTCTCTCAGCTCCCCCAGTGCTGCTCTGCTGGGAGGGAGCCTGGCCTGAGAGCGGTAGGTCATGCATGCTTCGTGCACGTGGTTCGATTTCTTTCTCTTTTTTCCCTTTAAAGTTTTAGCTTCATCCTCTTCTCAGTTTAATAAAGGATTGTTTCCTTACCTTCCTGAGCAGGAGAGAAATTAAAAGCCTGAACCATTTCAAAGAACCTGTCAAAATGGGGATCTCCCATTTTCTTATCTTTGGCTCATTGTGTCAGACAGAGAAAGGAGAGAGAGTAGGCTTGGGCAAGCACCAATTCTTACTATTAGCTCTCAAATTGCTACATTTTTACTTTCATTCAGAATTAAGTGTTTGTATTCAGGTTCTGTTCTCCAGGCCAGTTTAACTCCCTTGATCTTCTTCCATTGTAATTCACTTCCACTTCCCATAATGCACTTACCATGTTCATCAGTGTTGAAGTGTTTACTCATTCACCTATTTTTATTTTCATTCTGCTTAATTTTCTCTTTCCAGCCAAACCTGCTCACCCCGTTCCGTCCTGCCGTGGTGTTCAGGATTCCTCTGTCTGCTTCCTCTCTGACATTCTTACGTCAGTCTTCTGTTCCCCGTGAGCTGGGGGTGGGGCCGGGGGGGGGCACAGGGAGAGGGTGGACAGCTTGTGTTCAGCCTGGATCAGAACCTAAACTCTTGTTTCTATCATTGTCAGCCAGTCATTTAACACCTCTGAGCTTCCGTTTCTTCTTTTGTAAGGTGGATGCATTGTAAGCAGTAAAGAAAAATAGCTCATTGATGTAATGTCCTCAGCGGGTCTCCTGAGTGTAGTCTCTTATTGATGCTTTTTCTGAAACTCATACTCTGACTCTTTTTCATTTTTGCTTTTCCCCCTTTTTTTAAGAATTGCAGATTTCAGTATCACGTGTGTAACATGATTCTCAAGCCCATATTTTGAGATTATTCTTGCAATTGAGTAGCCAACCACAGTTTTCACTTGTCCAGTGGGAATTGTCCTGTGGGTTCCCCGGACACACCTCATGTGTTAACTCATATCTGCATGTTCCTCTCCCGTGTCTCTATTACTGGCAGCTCCGCCCACACAACTGTCCGAACGAGGGTGCCTGTGTTCTTTTCCTCTTCCTTCTCCATTGCAATCTGATTGGTCACCAAGTGCAACTCAATAGATTCTGCCTTCTCTTAATTCTCAGAGCAGGCACTGCCATCCCTTTCTTTCCATCTCTGTTGGGATTGTTTGAATTAAAACCTTCATTGTATTTTTCTTAAAATCACTTCCTACTTGATTTCCCTACACCTTCTTGTTTTATAGCTAAAAACCTTGCCACAAGCATTGTTCTTTGAAAACTGCATTCTTCTCCTTTCATCCGGTTCAGTTCAGTCTTACAGTGTTCACCATCCATTGCATGAATTAAGAGTCCTACCATGGAAGACACAGAAGAATTTCATGAAACAACATATGAGCAAGAGCCTATGGTGATGAAAGAAGAAGTTCAGGCTGCTTTGAAGGAAAGGGCAAAAAATAAGGCTTCAGGAATAGATGGTATATCAATTGACATATTTCAGTTAACTGATGCTGCCCTGGACGTGCTCACCAAGTTGTGCCAAGAAATCTGGAGAACGACCACTTGGCCAACTGACTGGAAGAGATCTATATTTGTTCCTATC